CTAAATATGCTTTGAAAAACTCATCCCTTGCGTTCTCTTTCAACAGCGTACATTTGGTTAGTTTTTCACATATTGGTTTTTTTTCGAAAGCTTCAAACGTATTTAGGACTTTGCAAATATAGCTTCATCTCGACAGATATGTTGAAATTCCCATTGTAAAAAGAAATTTTTGAGGAAAATTTGTTAGTTTTAGTGGTTTTGGCGGTGGATTCGACGGTGGTCCAGGATTCGGCGGTGGATACCCAGGGCACCCTCCTCCAAGTGCTCCACCACCAAGCTATGACGACACTATGGGCTTCAAAACTTCTGCTCCAACTGGTTCTGCACAAAGCAGTAGTAGCGGTGCTGGATTTTGGACCGGTGCGGGTTTAGGAGCACTGGGTGGTTACTTGTTTGGAAGAAATACGTAGGTTTTCGCTTTTATTTGGCTTGTTTGGCTCTTCAAATGATATGGTGAGGATTTAAGAGGTGGATCTACGTCTGGCTTCTTTGACACTAATAATAGAGGTTATCGACGAACAAATGAAAGGTTCATGAGAGACACGGGATTTGATAATCACGACGCCGACCAGCCCTCTACGTCAGGGATACGGGAAAGCACAGGTTGGTTTATTTGTTATTATTTGATGAGAGAAAATGTCAAAATGTTATCGGCAATTCGTAGTAGTAACAGCAAGTGCTACATTGTCATCATGAAGGCGAGAATTCCTCTTTTTAATGCCGCGAGTAGGCGTCATTTCGTAAGCAGAGTGGTTCGTGTTTATCTTTCAAGCCACTGGCGCATATGCAAAGTGACAGGGCTTGATTTTCTTCCTAGTAGTTTGGCCCATTTCAACACCATATCGAATAAGAACTTCAAGTTCGAAGTTTCGGAGATCTTTCGAAGTAGTTTCGAGAAGCCTTGTTTTTTCGAGTCCTTGAAAATTCAATGATTTCGTTTTCGAAGATCCTGTGAACTTATTAATTAATTGCCATGCTGCTTCCCGTTTTGTTTTGCCAATTGTAGATTGCGTTGAAGTAATCTGAACAACAGCGCTAACATGAATTTTTCAGGTTATGGTGGCACGAGGCGTCGGTAGAGCTAAATGCTAGAGAAAGGTTTATTCCATATAATATTTTCTGTGTAGGATATCTTTGCCGATTGTTGCATAGTCTTGTACATATAATTGACTCATTTTTATTGATGTATTGTATGGAAGTTTAGTTTTAGAAGTTATTTCGAAGTGTTATGGGGAAGTCAAATGTTTATACCATTTCCATTTGGGCAGTTGATTAACAAGGCCACACTAGGTACTGCTGCAACCTCCGTCCCAACATCCCCGCCCATTTTTCAGCACAATTGCGATTTGCACAAATAGTGTTACGATCTCTGTTACCCAGGGGCCTTTTTTCACTTTTGCTCTTTCATGGACATGCTGCCTGAAAAGGATTGATACACCGACACAGTTACTGCTCCGTCTATTTTGAGGAAGGTATTGCAAATTTCGAGTTTTTTTTCAACTTTTTTCAACGTCACTTTTTTCATTGATCCAAAACGAATCTTCTCACAGATTTACTTTCATACAGTGGCGCAGTGAGCCCCATCCTTTTGGCTACCCCCACTTATGCGTCTATTCACAAGATTTTCACTTATTCTTTAGAATTTTCACCTTTTCGCCTTAGCAGGTACCCCACAAACTACATGTGAGACGTCCCGCCCTCTTTTGAAGTGGTTCAGATCGGCAGGCTAAAGTCATAGCTGGCAGGTTTTGGACTCACTTGTCATTCGTAACAAACTTTCCCTAGTTTTTTGTTCTGGCGGGAGAGCGTGTGGCCTGTTAACTAAAGCTCTAGCCTACTGAGTCACGCCATTTTCATACGTGGGAGGAGCTTTGATTGGGATGCGGCTTTTCATAGAGGACGGAGCCACCTGTAGCTGGGGAGCTCAAGGCAAAATTTTCGAAGAAAAAAATGAAAAATTTTGCAAAAAGACGCAAAAGTGGCTGTGCTCAAAGGGCGGCTATAGTGTCCGTTGGGAAGGATTAAAGCAAGTCCCAGCGCTCAAGCGATTTGTAGGCGTCCTTCCTTGTACAGAAAGACTGACCCTCATTGTGTAAATTGGCCCATTTTCGCGGCTTCGCATGCAGTAAACCGCTGAGACCCTCCCAAGTGGCAGTTCTGACGCCTCCCAAGCCACTCCGCCCACCCCCAAGAGCTGTTTTCTGTCGCGAGTTCAGTTTTTTTTTGGTCTTTTTTGCCGAAAGATAATATAGTATGCAAGAAATCGATTTGCTGGCATGAAAATAGCAGGTCCAAAAACCCTGGGACTGCCAGGGGTTCTTATGGTGTTCTCGGTAATTTTTTTTTGCTTTATTCTTCCCTGGAGAGTCAACGAGTCACTTGGCGGCCATAGGTTCGGGTTTAAGGCCGCGTTCATAGCTTGCGACCATGAAGAAATGCACAAATGCAGAAATGAAGAAATGCGGAATCTGCGGAAATGACGAAAAGCATTGTATACATATCGATTTGAAGAAATGCAGAAATGCCGAAACTGCAGAAGTGCGGAAAGTGCAGAAATGACGAAAAACATTACATATGCGGAATCTGTAGAATTGCAGAAAGTGCGGGCAATACGTATCTGTTGCTTTTCGTAATTTCTGCAGATTCTGCATTTCTTAATTTCAGCATTTCTGCATTTCTTCATGGTCGCAAGCTATGAGCACGGCCTTATGGAGTCTACCCCCATTATGCAAGCGCGGGGTTTGCCTTTATGACTTCCTTTATAATTTTATTTCAATGCCCTGAAGTGGGCGTAGTCGAAGGGACGGGGCTTATTGTGCCGATGTATACATGCATATCTATGAGCACATTGGTTTTGTGAACAACCAGTGCGAAAAAATGACGTTGAAAAAGTTGTAAGGAATTGAAATTCCACAACAGCTTCCTCAAAAAGGGGTGGAGTCGTATCTATGTCGGTATGTCGATCCTTTCAATGAGTGTGCGTGCGCGAAATTGCAAAAGTGCAAAAAATCAAGTAAGATGGGTTCATAAAACATGTTTTGGGAAACGGTGACCCCGCTGGAAAGTTGGCGGTAGTGTTGAGGCGGGATTTACACCAGTTCCTAGTGTGGTCTAGTTAATCAACTCTCCGATGTGGAAAGTGTGTCCAGTCTGGTTTGCAAAGTGACCGATTTGGGTCAGAAACTGCCTGATCCAAATGGAAATGGTACAAAAGGAGACTGAAGTTGCAAAATTTTACTCGAGGAATTGAAAAAGCGGGGTTGAACGCCTACACAATGTACTTCGATGTTTCGAACTTGAGCGAATAAATCGAGTACATGCAAGTAACGTTGCAACTAAATAATAAACATAGTGAAGTGGATTGAAGGCAGTAGGCACGACGGCTGGGTGCTGACGATTACTGACAGTTTCATTGGTTTCAGGGTTGAATGGGATCAAACGCCCTCTCGCAGCTGTTCCACTAGTGACATTTCAGTAACCGCCCGCTTCCAACCATCGTGCCCACTGTCTCTTAACACGTTCGCGGCGGCGCCGTTTCGTCAAAAACTCTATTGGTCGAGCGACGCGGTCGCGGCGGGCGACGCTAAGGCAGTCATCCCGTTCATGTGTCTCTTAGGCCGCGTTCATACCGTGCGAGGTCGTCGTCAACGTCGACGAAAGCTGCGTAAGCTGCGACTGGTTCGTGAAGAATACATACGTATCGATCCAACGAAAGCTGCGTAAGTTGCGTAAGCTGCGTAAGTTGCGTAAGCTGCGTAAGTTGCACGCAACTTACGCAACTTACGCAGCTTTCGTCGGATCGATACGTATGTATTCTTCACGAACTAGTCGCAGCTTACGCAACTTACGCAACTTACGCAAAAGACGTCGCACGGTATGAACGCGGCCTTAACACGTTCGCGGCGGCGTCGTTTCGTCAAAAGCGGGCGACGCTTAGGCAGTCATCCCGTTCATGGTTGCGCGCTCGCGACGGAACCATAAACGCCTAAAAATTCACGAAAGCCGTTTTTCGCCATTCTTTTTACATTTTTCCCTTCTACAAGTTTTATCTAAGTTTCGGTAAATGAACTAGCTTTCTTGCCCTTTTTGATGTTCACTGGTACCGCACAAAGGGGATGTAGACTTTGATTCTTGTGAAAGTTCTTAGTTCCTCTTGTAAAAACCACTACTGCCTCACCTGGTTTCGAAAAATACACGAGAAATGTTCTTAGTATTACTTGTATATTATTTATTTTATGATTTGTTCATAATTGCCAGTGAAAAGAAGAAAAAAATCAAAAAACGAGAGAAGAGGCGCGTGTACTCCCAAGAATGCACGATTCGCCTAAAGAGGAAAGTTTTTGAGTATTTTTCAGGTATACACGCCTCTTCTAATGTGTGGATATTATTTCTCTATTGTTTGATTATTATTTATATCCAATTGTTAGTGGAAAAAGAAAAGAAAATACAAAAAACCAGCGAATAGGCGCGTGTACTCCCGGGAGTACACGATTCGCCGAAAGCGGAGTTTTTTCGTGTACTCCCGGGAGTACACGCCGCCGCGAACGTGTTAAGAACCTGTGATTCTTGCGGTTAGTGACCTAAGCTTGACGCATGTAATGCTTTCGCCATCAAAACTGGGAGGTTCATATGGTCTAGTACACAGTCTCAGAAGCAGTTAGCTCAAATAATGTGGTTTCCGAGATTCTGCCAGATTACGGCTTGTTCATTGGTAATTCGCAGCTTGTTGATTTCACCGTTTAATATTTATTGAAAGTAATTTTCATCGAGATGAGGAAGTTATTTGAAGTTAAGGAGAAGATAAGAGTTATTTCGTAGAGGGGGGGGGGTGTGAGGAGAGGGCTAGGGGAGGGAAAGGTAAATTTCTGTCATCATCCATTATTGCATTACAATATCGTCCCCGCAAGCTTGTAACTGCAGCAGAAAACAGGAAAAGCAACAGACGTCGTCGGTGGCCCTCTTCTAGAATGGCCTAACCGTTTTGTTCTTAAGCGAAAGAATTGGGCCTCTCAGTTGCGCTAACCCATTGTGGTTGGGCGGCGCGCCAACAAGTTGTACACTTTTCGAGCTGAAAACTTCGCACCGTCAAGACAAATGCGGTCTCATAGGAGTTTTCGTAGCGGGCTACTTACCATGGCAGCATATGGTTGTTGCATAAGTTTTCCCCCCTGTTTTGATCCTTCCGTATTTCGTTTGCATGGAGGTTGGTATTTCGTCATCACGTGTGCGTGACGTGTACATGATACTCTTTCACCACACTAGCTATCACTCACCCATCCTGCATTTGCAGGCTACAATGCCGCACAATTACCAGTGCAAAACCATGTCACAGTGATTGTGCGGCATTGTGGCCTGGTCCAGCCCCCGTCCTTCTGGGACGATGGAATCGACAAGCTGCCTGAGCGTTGGCGTCGAGTAGTGGATGGTGATGGTGCATACCTCTAATCTTCAGGCTGGTTCGCTATTGAGATATTTACAAAAAAGTCGGGGGAAACTTTAACTTATGCAACAACCTAAGATTCTCGGAATTTTGCTGACTAGTAAATATATATAGCACACATAAACAGGAAAATCTCGAGAAGTCAACGATCGGAAAAAAATTTTGTCCCAGCAAATTTCTCTCAAAGGCACATACGACCCCTCCTCCCAACAAGGATGAAATACGATCTCCCTCCTCAGCGGAAGCGTACGATCTCACCTATGTGTTTCCCACAACGATGCTGTACCCTGGGCGCAGTTCATCTTGGTTGAGGAAGGGATGGAAGAATTTTATTTGTTCTCATCGATCACTGATGATGCTTTTCTTGGAGGCCTGCAAAAGTCTGGAAAGCAGTGCAAGCTTGGGAAGTCACAAAGGTACCGTGATCCGTGAGATGTAATGTAACAGGAACTAGTAAAAAAATGGGGGGTGTGCGAAATGCCCACTCCCAGCTCTAAATCGAAGAGGGCCCGTGATCACTATGGAGAGTCTGTATGATAGTCTTTACAACGTGCTGCCGTCACGCTCTTATATCTAGTATGTAATGTCAATCGCATTTTAATGAGGGCGCATAATTTTTGCTTCAAATGACTTCAGAAG